AAATGGAAACGATGTTTGTCATTTCAATCGTTCTTTATAAAGTTATTCCAGTTATATTCCTTTTCTCTTTCCTTCATGAAAACCTTGGATAACTTCAACAAGCAAAGACATAATTCAAGAAAGTTGTCACTATATAGTGCTCACCTTTTCGATTAAAGAGAGATAGTATGGCTTGACCTTCTCAACGTCAATTCGAACTTTGCTCTTGCTGTAAAGGTCAAATTTGCTGCACACACACACAAAGGAGTTAAAATTTTGTTAAAGTTATGAGATAACATCTAAAAAAAAATTCCTAAATTTTCATGGAGATGGAAATGAATACTCTTACTTGAATATTTGGAGCCATTTGAGGTTCTCTGTGTCTTCCTCGTTCATCAAATGCTTATATGCTCCTGACCTATGTAAAGCTGCAACGTGAAAAGGTTTCATCAAAATCAACCCAATAAGGCTATCTTGAAAATAATCTATTTATGACTGTATTCTTGTGCATAATCGAAGGTTTTTAAGACAACACCTCTTCACATACCATAAAAAGAGTGGTATCTGATGATGAAAAGAGCAGCTGATGGCAGGGTTGTGTTATTCTCCTTGGCCACCTGAAAATGTAGTCACATAACTTGAAATTGTTGCAGTTGCAGTCCTCCAACGACCACGTCACTATGGGTGTCTCGTACACTAGGTTTTCATTTTTTCATTCAACCGACATTACTTAATTTCAAGCATAGTTGTAGAAGGGAGACAACTTGGAAGAGGACAGAAAGTAGTACCAGATACATGTAGTCATCATGCCCCCACGACATCATAACATTGTTGAATCCACAACCTTCAGAATAAACTCCATATTTAGTGCTGTAAGCAGGGTTATTGTAATCCGGATTTTCCTTAAAGTACTGTACCAACAGCCACAAATGATTAGGAATTCCACAGAGAACTAACTAATTCAAGTGAAGATTTTCTTCTAAACGTATTTTCTTCAAGTAAAACGCAAAGTTCTACATATAAGTACCTTGTGATGTACGATGGATTCATCAAAAGCACATCCCACCGGAAATGTGTCGCCTGTTATAGTAAATTTCATCAGTAATTTTGCTATGAAATATGTTGACCTTAACGAGTGATTAGATATGCATACTTGCTGATGTAAAAATTGTAATACACAAAAAGTAGTCTTTACCTACAACAGCCCATTGAGGAAGCTCTCCAAAGCTAGGATGAAGAAGAACCTTCCCAAGATCTAAAACCCATAAAAGCCAAATTAACTAACCGTACGTTTCGCATATAAAAGATAAAAGCTTAATTAAGCAACATATAATGTGACAAACACCTAGCTAGCACAACTCAAATAATGGTATTGAAGGTGAAACAGCAACACATACCATGGATAAGGCCAGTCAAGTGCAACCAATCTTCATCGGGATAGTCTCTCCTAATAGCTTCAGCTGTTTGCAACAAGTGTTCAATTTGAGGTTCATCCAAGTCGGGATCACTCTCGTCAACAACATCATTGAGAAGTTCACAGCATTCCCATATGCCCATTTCCACCTTATTCAATTTTCCATACTCCTCCCTCATCCTCTTCACCTGCAACGGATCGAACTCGATTCGATAAAACATAGCTCTATTTCGATATACATCAATGGGGAGAATGGGAATGTCAAATGAAGTTTTTGGCAAGTTGCTTACAAAGTCATAAGATTGGTTAATGTGATTGGTCCTGTAGAAATTCTCAACCCCTTCTTGTCTCACACTTTCAGCATCATAGTCCCTGATATGCAATTGCATATTAGATCAATCCATTGAAAACTTGAACATGCAATTAATAAAAAATATAAATTAAATTGTTGTGATTAACCAGGGTGGTGTTAGATGTGTTCATTCAAGGGAACAAGGGCCTTGAGCTTAACCTAGGCCAGGGTTAGAGGCAGCCCAAATTCGAATCCACGATGTTCAGGAATCAGCCCTTTCCAAGGCCTGGTGTGCAAGGCTGTCCAACTTTTAGGTTGGGGATTACCTTATTCCTCCACAACCCTCAAACATAATTAACACAACATAACAAAAATCATCATCACCATGAGCATCATTATAATCATAAACATCATAATTCATGGCAGCCTGGTGGCCAATGGGGTTTAACCCTATATCCCAACCCCCCCCCCCCCCCCCTCTTCCCCCCTCCCAACAAAAAATAAATAAACATGCACCACCACCAAACAAAATTAAAAAAACCCAAACAACCCAAAAAAAATTGTATAAGTAATAAACATCACCTTGCTTTTATGTGAATATATACATATATATAATTAACATCATCTCTAATTGGGCTGTCTCAGTTCATTTAGTTCAATACAATCGAGCATAGTCCAGGATTGGCATGATGATTGTTTTAAGAATCCAAACTCATGGATATCTTTCTGCCTTTTCTTTTCTCCATGCTGTGTTATACATTCCCAGATTATTATTTTTTTCATTTTATTATTATCGTTTAAACCAACCTAATAATTATCCTTTCCTCAGTGCAATAATGCTTTGTCAGGCTTACATAAATGTAACAATTCCATGGAGAAATTAATTGGTGAAGAAAAGGACCTAAAATTGTGGCCAAATGAATTGGAATAGGGAACCACAAATCCACCATCCAACACCAATTCCTTTTCATTGTTTGGGATCTTCTTTTCCTCAACTTCAACTCCTGTCATCCGAAACAGAGGGAGAAGAAAAACAGAAAAAATCAAAATAAATCCAATAGTTATTTATGATAAATCGAAAAAATAATTATAGTTCAAGAGAATCAAATTTCAAATCTTCTCTTGAATTTAAAATACACTAAAATATAATTAAAATCTGCAGAATAGACTTATAATATCATCAAAACTATAGATCTGTAATAAAATAACAATCTAATCGACAAACACTAACCCAAAACTTATACAAACGAAAAAAAAAAAAAAAACAAGCTATATTCTAAAAAAATAGATAATAATATCATGAAAAATACCCAAAAGAAAAAAACTAAAGAAAAAGAAAAAAAATTTACCAAACTCAGGCTGATCAATTTGGATAGTCATCCTGAATCAAAATTGAAGCCCACCCACTGAATCTCAATCTCGACAACAGAGCAAAGTAAAAGAAAAAGAAAAAGAAAAGAAAGAAGATTGAAAGACAAATGGATTGTATACAGATGCATAATGGGTGTGATAAATAGGCAGTATTTATAATTGCCGGAAAGGCCTTCCCTGAGAATTCGGAGGTTCTGAGTCCTTCCCTGAAAACCCAACTCTCTTCGGACTCCTTAAAAACCATAAAATATTTATACCTTATTATCCACTAAATATTATTAAGTGTTTGTGTTGTGTTGTGATGTGGTATGCCGGCCGCAGATAAAAATAATAATACTAAAAAGATTGGATCCCCCGAAGGAGTTGGTGCTAGCTGTCGTTCAGATATTTATGTTGGTGTGGACCCCACGGTGACTCAGCTTTGAGTTGGAGCTCACATCCCTGGGGAAAGAGTGGGTCCAACTGACGTGGATTCCAGTCAAGGACGGATGCCTCGGAGGGGTACCAAGTACTGGTGACGTTTTGTTATGGAAGTATTAGGCCGACATTATTTCCAGCCCTTTTTTTTTTTGGTAATTCCACCACGCCTCCTCCCTCATTCATAGAATTCTGAATTTGGGGATAGCCGTGGAATATATGAATCACTACTATACTCTGAAATTTATTATTTTTTTATTATTAATTTTAAAATAATATTTGTATATATTTTAAATGATTAAAAGTTTATATTTTAAAATAATTTTAAAAAATAATGGAAGTAATTATAAAGGACCCATGTAATATTTTAATTAGAGTGAGCCAATTAAATATTTTAAAATTCAATAATTTAAAATTTAAGAAGAGAAATCTTCTCAAATTCTCGCATCCTTATATTGAATTGGTGTTAGAAGCCCAATGAAACTAACCTACCATTAGGGGTATAACTTAGACGAGTCAATCTGAATTCAATTCGAGCCCAACTTAAAAAAAAACAAGATTTTGATTAGAATTTTTAATATTTGAGTTGGGCTTGGACAAAAAAATTTCAACCCAAATTGAATTTGGGCAAACCTCGGATTGTCAAGTTAAACTTGAATATATATAAATATATTTAACTAAAGTCAGTATTTATCTTCACTCTTCAGAGTTCAAACTTTCACTTCACTTCAAATTTTCACCTCTGAGCCTTCATTACTCCCGGATCCCTCTCTCATTCATCACATCTCCCTCTCTCACTTCTTCTCTCTTCACCTAAGTCTCGCCCTTCATCTCAGATCACTTGAAAAAATTAAATCTACAATTCAAAATATTAATCTTTTTTAAGTAATTTAAGTTCAACTCATTTTTTAATTTAAAATCAGTTTGAATCAAGTTGAGTTAAGATTAAAGTTATGATTAAAAATTATATACTTAAAATTAAGTTAGAGTTAACCTCTCAATCTGCTTAATTCGTTCAAGTTACACCCTTACCTACCGGTCTATAGAGCAAAATAATTGCTCTCTACATGCCCCCCTTGCTGGCTGGAAAAAGAGTTGGCTATTGCTTGTTTTTAACACTTTGCACATCCCAAAACTAATTTTTATCTCATATATTAAATAAAAAATTAATATGAATAGTTGAATTAATAATATATAAGAATACAAAGTTTTAGAGACTTTTGTGATGCATATCAATCCAGTCCTGAATATTTAATTGGGTAAAAAGATCTTAGGTCCCACAATGCCCTGGTCCTAATCAGGACTCAGCCTTCAGTTCCCTAACATGTCATGTAATAGACAGCTGTGAGGACGAGACGTTAGCTTCGAACCTACCACCGACGATTTTCCACCTCACTATTCAATACGACAAGTTGTACCGTCCAAGAAAGCTACTACTGATATTAATATTTAAAAATTTGAAAAATCTTTCATTCGTATAAACATCAACTTGTATCCGAATAAATTTAAATTACAAGATCTTTTTTGTATAAATAAAATTAATTATTAGATGATCAGATTGTAGTAAATAATATATCAATATAAATATTTGGTCTGTGAATGTAAATACGATATACCAAAATGGATAAAATCTATCGAATCACATTATATTTTTTATGTCATATTTTTATTGTATTTCTTATCTTTGAATTCATATTTTTATTTTTATCATTAGGTCTTTAGTCCAATAGTACTCTTGTCTTGTAAAGACTTTATCTTGTTGAGGTCAAGGGTTCAAATCTCATTCCCCCTCCCCCTCTCCCTCTCCCAAAAAAAATTAAAAAAAAAAATTCATATTGTGCTAATTACAACCAACAAGTGGCTATGTTCCAACATTTGATGACAGGTGTAAAACCACCCCCAACCCCAACGCGGGCCTTTCTTTTTTTTTTTTTTTTCTCTCTCTCCAGCCTTCATTCACCAATTTTTTTTTGCAATGAAAGGTGGTGGCTGGTGGCTGGTGGCATATTCCTTATTCGTTTGAATTGGCAAGATGGTGTACCTAGTGCTTTGTCTATCCTGAATTAGAACTGATCCAACGTCGTTTTAATTTGGTATGATTCTTCCATACGAAGGATTGGTTTGGGTTTACCTGGGCCATTCTCCGAGACCATCACACCCAATGGGTCACAATTTTCAAAAAAGTTAACCTTTTTAAAGCTTTTTACTACCTTTGTTTTAATTTTTTTTTGGGAATTCGAACTTATTAAGATACTAGTAATGCAGTACGTACGTTACATGTGAATAATTTTTTTTTAAAAAATTAATAAATAAATATCAATTTAAATTAAATATCATCTCAAATTTATCAAACTTATTTTTTCATCCCTCGTAGCCTCATACTCCACTATAGAATTTTTTAAAACTTTGTATGTCAAGATTTGTTGTTCCTATTTTAAAAAAATGATAAAAAAAAAAAAGAAAAGAAATAATTAAAGTTTTATTTTTTCTATAATTTTGCAATTAAAAGTGATTTTTTTAGTGATGTTTGAAAATTAAATTTTTAAAAATTAATTTGATTAAGATTTTACTTATAAATCATTGAATAAAATAAAAATAATTATCAATATATCAATCATATTCAAACCTTACTGTATTTAGAATTATTTAGATCAATTGAGATAAAATTTAATATATAATGTTATATAATAAAGTACAATACAATTCAAATATCAAAAGATAAATAAATAACTTTTGTTATTCGCGGGTGAAATCTTTTTATATTTTATTTTAAAATTAATCTGACGGTTAATATTAAGACCCCAAATTTAATAAGAAAAATAGGCCCCTATAAGTTTGTTTAGAGTGATTTTTTAAAAACGCTTTTAAAACTTATAACTTCTCATAAATACTTTAAAAAAAAAGAGTTTGAAATTGTCGTACCACCACCACCACAACCTCCACTGCCCCCACCACCATCACCATTATCACTACCACCACCATTGTCACCTCACCATCACCTCTGTTACCACCCTGTTACCACTGTCACTACCCTGTTACCACTACCACCCCTACCACCATCACTACCACCATTCCCACCAACACCGCGATTGTCCCACCATCACCCCTATCCCCCCACCACCAACTTCACAACCATCACCACTATCACATCCCACCATTGTCGTCACACCACCCCCACCACTGTCGTCGTCGTTGTCGTCACCACCCCACTATTACCACCATCACCACTGCCACTGTCATTGCCTTACCACCACTACCACCACCATCGCCACCCCACCACCATCACCGCCTTTGTTACAACCACTATCGTCATCGTCATCGTCACCCACCACCGATTACTATCATCGTCATCCCACAACCACCGTCAGCACCCCCCCCACCACACTTACCACTATCACCCTTCATCGCCCATCACTACTACCAACCACTATCACCCATCTCCACCACACTTACCCTGACCACCACCATTTTTATTTGCCACCACTTATCACACCGTTTCCCAAAAACACCTACTACAACCCATCATTGTCATTGTCGTCGCCCTACCACGACCACTGTCAACTATCATCACCGTCACCCATTCTCACCGCCGTCACTCATGGCTGTCATTACCACCATCGTTACCCAAAATTCACCATCAACGATTGTTGTCGCCCACCACAACCATCACCATCTTTTACCACCATTACCATTGCTCAATCCCATTACAACCGGTGTTTAAATTTTTTTCTCTGTCCTCTATATTTGTGATTTAATTTTGAGTGTAAATATAAAAATAGTTATTGTTGACCATTTTTTATATTATTTCATGTCTCAGGCATGGGCAATAACTAGTATATATTATAAAGCATATTAAATTTTTTTAAAAAAAATTAAATTTTCAGATAAAATCTTAACACGGTCTGAAAAGTTTATTGTGACTGAAAAATCATCTAAAACTATATAAATATTATTTTTTATCTTAAAAATGAAAGAGTTAAGTATTTTGATGAAAAATAAAATATACATATATAGTCATAATATTATCTTTATAAATGAGGTGAGTAATATTATATTGATGAAATTTTTGAAAGTATTTTTTGAATATTTTTTTAAAGCTTATAATGATGCACATATTTTTTGAGTAATATAATTAATCAAAAATTTTGATCAAAATTGACATTTATACATAAAGAATATATAATTAAAATTGATTGTAGATGTAATTTAAAATTTAAATATATAACAATATGATGATAATTTAGATATTAAATGTGGAAGGATAGAGTGACCTTTTTAATTCTTTATGAGAGTAAAATAGTAAATTAAAAAAAATTTATATTGAGGTACTTTTATTAGTAATATAGATAAATAGATTATCTATATCTATACCTATCCATATATACTATTTATAAATGTTAGTATTTGTTAAAAAAAATTGATATCTATTTTATTCTTAATTATTATAATAAAGTCAATTATTCTCACCTATAGACTTTTCATCTAATTTATATTTTTTTATACATATTCGACTTTCAACTTATTTTGAACTCTTTTATAAAAACCTTTAAATTCTTTTGAACTCATTTATTACTAGTATAGTTATATACAATTATCTATATCTATATATGTTAAATTATTATACACATGTAGTTAGCAAGTTAAATTTCACGATTCTTATATTTTATTTTTATGATATACAATAATATAATAATATTATAAACAATCTAATTAATTTATTTAACAAAATAAAAATTAATAACTCTACAATATAATTATACTAGTTATTCCTTGTACCTGAAAACACAGAATAATAAAAAAATGGTCAACATATTGTATTTATACTCAAAATCAAATCACAAACATAGAGGAGAGATAAAAAAAATTTAAGTACCGATTATAGTGAATGTGAGTAATGGTAGTGGTGGTGGGCGACAATAGTGATGGTGGGAGACGGTGATGGTTGCGGTGTATAAGACAACGACTGTGGTGATGATAACAGCCGCGGATAACAACAGTGATATTGGTAGTGAGTTTTGAGTGATTATGATGGTAGTGGCAGCTATGGGTGACAACGGTGGTGATGAACAACTGTGATAATGGTTGACAGTTATAGTGGTGGGATGACGACGGTTGTGGTAGGCGGTGATGATGGTGGTGGTGGGCGAAGATGGGTGTTTCTAGGCAATAGTGTAATGGGTGGTGACGAATGGCGGCGGTGGTAAATGTGGTGGGGATAGGTGACAGTGGGTGGCTACAGTGGTGGACGATGACAGGTGGTGGTAGGTGTAGTAGGGTAGGTGATAGTGGCTAGTGGTGATGATGGGTGACGATGGGTAGTGGTGGATGCTGACAATGGGTGACGATGGGTAGTGGTGGATGCTGACAATGGGTGACGATGGGTAGTGGTGGATGCTGACAATGGGTGACGATGGGTAGTGGTGGATGCTGACAATGGGCGACGGTGATAGTGGGATGATGGTGGTAATGATAATAAATATAAGAATAAAATGACGATGGTAGTTGATGGTGGTCATTAACGACGAAGATAGCAATCGGTGGTAGGTGATGGTGGTGGCGACGGTGGGGCATTAAGGGTGGGGTAGGGGTGAAGGTGGGGTAGTGGTGATGGTGGGTTGGCAATGGTGGTGATAATTGTGATGGTCATTGGGGGGTGGTAGTGGCGCGGTGGGGGTGGTAAGAGTAATGGTGAGACAATAGTAGCGTTGGCAAGGTGCGACAGTGGTGATGATAATAGTAGGGTGCAACAGCCGTAGTGGTTAGGATAGTGGTGATGGTGCGATGGAAGTGGTGGGGCGATGAAAGTAGTGGTAGTGATGATGGTGGAGTGGTGGTGGTAGTGGTTATGGTGGTAGCAGGACAATGAAAGTGGTGATAATGGTGGCAATTGCGATGGTGGTGGTGGTGGTGGTGGTGGGGTGGTAGATATGGTAGGGTGGCAGTGGCGGCGACGGAGTTGGTGGGGGTGGTGGTGGGGGTAAGGGTAGTAGAGGTAATTGTGGAGCGATTTCAAATACTATTTTTTTTTAAAATACTTATGAAAAATAATTTTTAAAAGTATTTTTAAAAAGTCACTTCAAATACATTCTTAAAGGCTTATTTTTCCTATTAAATTTGGAGTGTTAATATTAGCCGTTAGATTATCTTTAAAGTAAAATTTAAAGCGATCTCAATCGCGAATAGCAAAAGTCATTTTGTTTATCTTTTGAAATTTAAATTGTATTGTATTTTATTATATATATAATTATATATACAAATGACTAAATGGATCTGAGAGATACATAAATAAATGACAAATTATGTTCTCAAAGACTTTTAGAATAAACCAATAATTAAAATATAAATTAATTGTTCAACACCTAACTTATTATTTAATTTAATTACACATATAATTTACATTTTTTTATAAAACTAATATTATTTAAATTTATGTACGTAGGACATTGCTACATGACCATAATATCTATCTAGCCATGCCTTGACCAGAGTAAGATACCACATCAAGGTAAATGACAGATATATTGGATAACAGAGTTCGATAACATGACTGTTAATATATAATAACATTCATGTTACCATATGATTGAAGTTACAATTAGGATCGTATTACCAGTACAGTCGTGTTACTATACTGACACTAATGTTACTATAGTGAATTTTAACATATAATTACAAACATTGAGAAGTATATTATGTAACATACACTTTAATATTCACAGTAACATCAAAATTTTGTGATCAGTAACACATCTAATTTTATAAAATAAAAGACAATAATTTTTTTACATTAACATCAACTTTCGAATGATTTTAGTGAAAATACGATCCATAAATTCAAAATGACAAATAGTAACACACAATTAACAGTTGAATTACGACACTCAACACCAATTATGAACATTAAGATATCGAAATTTTGAACTCCATTTTTTGGTTCACATACAGTAACATGAACTTTTTTCACAGTAACATAACCAAGAAATACTCGATTGTCTTGTGCAAAAAAAAAAATTAACAAAATCAAAATCTATAACACTTTAATTTAGTACTAATGTATGAATTCTCTTGAATCTTGGTTACAAGATTAATGCCCACTTTAACATAATTAAATTCCTAATTATTATTACTTTTTTACCATGTTACCATTTTTTTGTGAGCATGTTACTAGTTTTTATTAATCATGTTACTGTCTTTGTTAAATATGTTACTATTATTATTTTTTAAATATTAATATTTTATCGATGAAGTCCAAAGTAAACTGGAATAGTAAATTAAAATTATTTTTTATAGAATGTAATAGGTTTAAAATTTGAATATGAATGATTTTTGGTAATTACTAGTTTCTTGTTTTTCGGATAAGAAAATATTGTAGTTTGGAAGATTATAATCGAATTTGAAAGTAATTATGAAGGAGATGTATCTGAATGGTTATTGTGTTCATAAACGTCGTTTATAACATTCCTATATAAAAGGGTTACAATAGTAAAATTGACAAAAAAACGACTTAAAATTAAATACGTTTTCTTGATTGACTTATCTCTAAATAAGTTCATATAAGGAGACCGGGCTCTAAATTTTCCAATTATAACTCAGTGTGGGCTCCCCTTGTTACAAATATAACCTGTCTCGGGAAAATCTTTGGCCCATGAAATGGTTTTGGATGTTGAAAGAAGGGGAAATAAGTGTCACCTCAAAATTTCATTCTCTTAGATGGGCCTTGGTCGATGATTGGATCCACAGCAGTAGGTTGGGGCTCTGCTTGCGGGGTTTCAGAGCCTCTCTCTCCTTCAGCAGTGGCAGGAGGAGCATAACCTTCTGGAAAAGGAGGAGGAGGAGGGGCTGGTGGTAGCTGCAGAAATTGTAGAGAACATCTCTTATTACTCTAACCATTGTGATTAAATATTTCTCTTAAGGGAAGAAAATATATCAAACCCTGTTAGTGCCTTTACTTCTCCACTCATACCCAAACTAGGGACCTATCTACCCGATCCATGTGAATTATTGCCAAGCTCTGAGTTCTAATAACCAAACAAGACCATACTTACACTAGAAAGATATGCTTAAGGCAAACAAAAAACTAGCAACAGCTGCTCAGATTTCAATTAAGCCAAATAGAAGATGTACGTGTTTTCTTTCACCTACTACGGTGGAAAAATAATCCGCAATGATTCATAAGCGTACACTCTATCAGAATCAAAAGACTACAACCTTAAGTCATTGAAAGTTGCTCCAAATCCTACACAATGTCCCTTATAACCTTTAATGCTATGTAGTAGATTCCCCGTGATATAGAGGGGCAAGGGTAATTGACTTGACACATTTGAGTTACCTTGCGTTGTAGTGATGCAAGAATGTGATCTACTCGCTTAACTTCTTTAAAGTCAATTGTCTCTTTGGCAGCCTTTGATTCCAGCGTTGCATTCTCATTTTCAGTATCAACTGCATCCAAATGATAAAAAACTTTGGAGATTCCGATTGTATTGTATCAAATGGATTAATAGCAGAAAATGCAATGCCAAGGAGAAACTGAAAAGGGTTGAATAACTACGCAACGAAGTCCTTGAATGTGACTAGTGCTTGAGATGACCAAATGGTGCTCAGGCGATCGTCATGCACAAATAGGTTTTGAAATTCATGCCAGATGTGAGTTAAAGATAACCCAATAGTAATGAAGGAGATCCACCATGCATTAATAAAAGAGTCTAAAAATAGGCTTTACATCCCAATATTACTCAAACCAAGGATCAAAACAATGAGTAAATAACTTTGTCAACACGAGAGAGAGACAGAGAAAGAGAGAGTCAATTAATGGAATAACTATATATATTATCCAGGCCAAAATATGATATAGAGTAATGATATGTGTCCCAAATTTGTAACCCAAATTTACATCACAAATCAATGAGGACCACTGGATCAGTGGGTCCCATTTAAAAAAGTTGATGGGACCTACTAATCCAATGATCCTACTTGATTTGGGATACAAATTTGGGTTACAAATTTGGGATACATAGCACTACTCTATGATATAAACAAGGTGATCTTATAAAGACATGATCATAAAAGTTAGTGGCATTTAAGAACCGTGAGAACTGAGGAGGCTTGAGCGACACCACCCTGCATGAATAAAGGTCAAGGTAAAAATTACCAATCCAACCTCCCGGCACCATGAATTCACACAGGAGCAAATTTCATGTCTCATGTGCCTTGCAAGAAATTTCACTTGAATGAATAAAAATTGCCACTACTGACACAAACTAGACAGTGGTGCTTAAATCTTTGTGCACAACTGTTGCACAATGAAACCAAATTAGAAGCTTATTCCAGAACCACAGAATCTGTTGGAAAATAGTAGTTGTGCTCAGACGGTCAGACCTAGGTGTAATGGATCCACAATTAGTCGAGAATTCTCTTCATTTTCTAAAATGTTAAGAAAAGCAAGAAAACTCATTTTGGTGCCATTAAGAGAATGATAGGGATTCATTTACTCTACTACAAAAAGAATGACCTCAGATTAAACTGGGTTAACAGAAGAATGACCTCAGATTAAACTGGGTTATCAGAAACCCAATTACAGAATTCATAGACATCGTAGGAACGTATGAAATTGAACAAATACTTGATATTAGTTCCCCATAGGAGAAATTTTCCATGTTGATAGCATAAGACTCACTGGTTGCTGCAAACCAACCCTGCTAAAAAAATTACAAACAAATGTACCATGGTTGCTCACCGAGGTGATCATAAATAGTTAAAATGGAATTAGTAATCTCTAACATTGAAATTTTTTAGGTAACAACTTAAGTTTGTATATAGCATATGTAAACCATTTTCAATCATATCCACAAAGTTATGTTTTTTTTTTTTTTTCCTTTTTTCAATTTCACTGCTGTGCTATGGCAGGCTTAGCACATTTAGTGGTGATTCCAGCTATACTCATCTACACGCCGAAGCACATCCAACAGTTTCGCAAAATGATCATCATGATATTATGACAAAAAGGAGAAATGAAGGCCACCATACCATATCCAATCTTCTCCAACTTT